ACCTTTGAACCAGGAATCCTATGAAAAACATTCCATCAATGACTCACTGTGTGCTTCTAACTGTGCTGGGCCCTGGGGTGACTATTAGGGGAATTCTAACCGTGGCTTCTTGCTTTTAAGAAAGTTTATACTCTATCTGATAAAAAGATAAAAGAAAACAATGCTAAACTATGTTCAACCTACCCTCCCAAAGGGAGACATGTTAAAGGGGGGTTCTGTAGAACCCCAGGTGACAAGCACACCAAGAAGTGAGGCTGCAGTGAGCTTAGTCTAAAAAGACTTCGTGGGAAAAATGAAGCTTGAGCTGCCCATTTAAGTGTGGACAGGAATTTTAAAAAGATAAAGGAGGAATTAAAGCATTTAGGCAGGGGCTGGTGTAAACAAAGGCTGAGAAGCAGAAATAAGCTTGACATACACAGAAGAGACTAAGCCAGCTTGCCTGGAACACAGGTGCACACCGAGGCATAATGAGAAAACGTTAGGTAAATTAAGTGGGGTCAGCTCCCGATAGACTGTTGTGGCATAGGTAGATGCTGTTAAAGTATTAAAATCATCGAATATTTAAACTAGAAAGAAATCTTACAGATTTTCTAGTCAATTCCAACAGATGAGGAAATCTAGGATCCACAGAGATCTAATGGCTAGCATAAGGACTAAGGCTGTAAATAGCAGAACAAAACTCAGACCCTCATTTAGGAACCGCAGTTCAACAATGGGCAGCATGGTATGATAGAGAAAGCACAAGGATTGATGAGAACATCAACATATAAGGATCTGCAAGCATACATACAAGACAGTATTGTGTCTTGGGAATTCGATGAGACTGATTTCCAGGGGTAACAGAACACCACAGAGGCATTACAGTTGATCAGAAAACCACTGTTTTGCCAGAAGAAATCACTTTCTGGAAAGAAGCAATCCAGAAGGAAAGCAGAGGCAAAAGCTAGTTTTCAGAGAGTTATGAAGGATATAGGTGGATACACAGTAGAGGCAGCAGGTATCTGGCAACAAAGGAAGAAAAAGACTGATCTGTACACAGAAAGCTACAGGACCAAGTAAATGTTTAAAAGAAAAAAAAAATCTAAGTTTGAAGGTGAAAAGGAAGGTGCTCACATAAAGAAAGACTGAATTAGATGCCAGATAAGGTGGGGGGAGTGAGGGAGCACAGAGAACTAACTGAGGACCAGTTGGAAATTGTTTTTCAAAGATGAGTTCCAGAATAAAGAATAAGCATTTTTTTCTCACTCACCATAACACAGCCCTTGTCAAAAGAATATTCATTTCAACTACTTATAAGGCCTTACAAACGCAGACCAAGCTTTAAGAACAAAGCTAAGGAGATTTTTTTTAAAATCCAAAATGACTTCAAAGTTTTACAAATGTATCTGGCCAATTAACATGTAGCTTGTAACTTCAAAGACACTTGCCAATCATTTTATAACGTGAGTTTTCTACCACATATTCGAAGGACATTCCGATTAGCATTCAATTTACAACAACAAATATGCTATTATTAAAAATAAAAATCAGGGTTTACTCTCTAATATGTTCTTTAAAATGTTATTTTTTGGCCTTTTATATACCATTTTTACTTGGCCAGATATGGAAAATGTAAGTGCTTAAGTGAACATATTTACAACAGATCATTTGGTGATATCTTCTCTCGATTTCTTAAAAACTTTCATATGACCAGTTTTCCTCTACTCCTTTCCAGGAACAAAGTCCTACAGAGACCGGTGGGGCACATGGAGCTAGGTGAGGCATGTAAGAAGGTTCTCCCTCTCATTTAAGTAACCTGGATAATGAGCCACAAATTAAAGCTGCACACCTAAAATTTGCTAATTTCAATTTAGAAACTTACCACTCAGCACCATAAAGGCAGGTTAAGAAGAAGCAGAAGATATAACTTATCCATTCAGTTTTCTAGCTGTCCACCTTCACAACTCCCATCCCTAATCAAGGAAGTACTTACTTTCTGTTTGTTTGTTTTTGTTTTAGCCGCACTGTGCATGCGGGATCTTCCCTGACCAGGGATCAAACCCGCATGCCCTGCAATGGAAGCACGGAGTCTTAACCACTGGACTGCCAGGGAAGTCCAGTACTTACTTTTCAAATTGTTAAGAATTGTTCAACTTAGGCCATAAATATTAGGTTTAGTTGCAATACCAGCAGGTTACAGGAATTTTATTTTACCCACTTGGAAACGAGGACTTGAGCTCAAAATGTCAAGATGGAACACTACCACTTGCTTAAACTGGGTCTACTGCACCAAGCTGCTGAGCAATACCCATCAGAGTACAATACATAATCAACAGCAGCTAGTAATGCATTTCTACTTTAATCACCACAAATATTAGAAGTCCAACCAAAACATCAGTTCAATCATAAATAGAGCTACCACCTTGAGACATGCACATGCTCTCTGCCTCAACACATGTCTTAGCTATAAAAAAGGACGCAGCCCACCTCCCCCTGGACCCAGTGAAACATATTACAGTCAATATATCCAAAATTCAAAACTTTTAGACAGTTGAAATGCTTAAGACTCTCATACAAATCTCTCTCACTACATGCAGGTTGTTTTCCCCCCTAAATAAAAAGGTAAATTCTTCTAACTATACTTTTGGATTATTAAAACAAATCCTACGGAATACTTATCAGAAAAAATATTCCTGATTGTCCAGCATTCAATGCTTTTCATACTGAGGCTCTTATTTTTAGGTCTGCTATGTGACCTTGGAAAGTCATTTAACCACTCTGAGCCTTAGTTTTCTTGCTTTCCAACCTCAAGGTAAACTCTAATTTGAATTAAACGTTTATTACTTCTATAATAAGTTAATGTATATAAATGCCTTATGTTAAACACCGAAACTCTTATACTTTTACATTTCAAAGTCAGTGGGCTTTAACCTTGTAAGAGAAAAATGTGAGGAATAATTTGTCCTATGGATCTTTCTCTTAATTACAACCTAAGGAATATATTTTTTTAATGCTTCTGTTTAAAATTCTTACATCCTTACGTTTTAACAGATGGTGGTGAGTTTGATTCCACAATATTCATAACAAAGCAAACAACAAAGCCTAAGGTCTTTTAACTCTGGGGACAAAAAGAAGGAAAAATTTACGTGCATTACTGGGCATATAATCAAAATCATTCCTCTTTTAAAATATAGAAAACTATGTTTGTCATATGTGGCAGATAAGCCTAAAGATCAACAGGTAAGAAGTGAAGAAATAAAGTTTAAAAAGTGGAAAAAAATTTTAACTAAAAAAACCCTGGAAATTACAGTCGTGGTGTGAATCCATCAAATTCCCGCACGCAGATTAAACTGTCCACACAGATCAGCTTTGGGGTTCTTCTGTGGGTCTTTTAAATCCTTTTTTAAAATTACACAGAGAAAGTCTTTTCTTTCAAGTTTTAAATCTAAGGCTCTATCAATAATACAATCCAATACATGCAGTAACATTTCACTTCTTCAAACAGATTAGTAGCACAGTCGTTTACATACTTTTTGGTCTGGAAGCATAAGGATGTGTGAAAGAACTTCAAGTCTCTGACAGCTTCATAATTCTATTTTATCTAAGTAGTTTCTTCTCAAATTTCTTCTCAATTCCTCTGCCTATTCCCAAATATCTTTCAGATAGGTCAGAAACACTATGAGTCCCATAAGAAAATGTTTATGGATCAAATAAAAGTGGAGCCCTCCCCCCATTCAGCTCCCATAATCAGTTTTATGATTATATCCAGTAAACAAAATAGATTGACTCAATCTCCAACAGTTCCCTCATCACAGGAAGCCCATGGTAGAACTGCAGCTGCAAAAAGCATCCCTTTAAACGATCCCCAACTACCTACAGCAACACAAAGTTAAACTAAATCCTACTGACAAAAGGCTCCGGGTGCATTCATTCAGATCAGCCCCAGGATTTAGAGTCTGAAGCTCAGGGAATAAAAAGGCACCTCTCCAAGCTATGAAACTTTTTTTTTCCATCTCAAATATTCTCAATGAAAGTTTTCTTGTCAGCTAAGAGGTGAGAGTTTAAAAAAACAACAAAACACTAGCAGAATTAACGGCTTCAGGACCACTTCCCAGCTGTCTTTGCTCTGTTGTCAGTGGCTCAGATGCAGTTTCCCACTTTCCTTTCACTCTTCCCCCCTTAATCCCCAAGATTCCCACTATAGAAAGCAACATTCACATTCTCAGATCTCTGGCAAAAAATAAAGGGGGAAACTGCAACTGCCAAGGAAGGGGGAAAAAAAAAAAAAAGAAAAATATTTCAGAAGGAGGAAACCAGAACCATGGTTTCCACTGCAAACGGCAATGTAAAGGCCAGTCTTGTCTTATCAGGATATGGGGGGACGCCCGTGTGGGGCATCAAAAAGACGTGCAGTGTGTGTGCACTTGGAGCTCTCGGGGCGGGCTGAGACGACGGAGCAGAAAGTAACAAAACCTGTGCTTTCCCTGCTTTCTTCTACTCTTCCCCCTCCAAGAGAGGAAGCTGAAGAAACTGGGGGAGGGGCGGGATGTTATCGTTCTCCCATTGGGGGTACAGAAGACGGGCCTTGGGGGTTCCTTCAGTTACTCACCCCCAGTTAGGAGATCCACTGAGGGAAGAGGAAACCCCTAAACGTTACCCACCTCCGGTCACAAAAAAATAGTAAGGGGGGAATGATTATATCCACATGGAGAGCCCCTGAAAGCGTCCCCAGGTCACTCATCCCTATTAGCAAGCGGAAGGGCTAGGATAAAGGGGGTGGAGGGTCGGAGGGGTGGTCAGGGAAAAGGCCCCACCCCCGACTTAGGAGGGAAGGGGAGCTCGAGCCACCAGCTGTCCCTTCCTTGCCGCACCTCCCCCCTAGGCCACCCCCAATTATCCCCCCAGTCTTTCCTCTAGAGCCCGAGGCGGCCGCGGGGGAGGCGGCCGCTCCTTCCTCCCCTCACCCACACCGTCCCCACCCCCGCTCCGCTCCCACCTCCCGCCGGCCAAGGGCCCGTTACCTGCTCGTCGAAGCGGCTGACCACGGCCTGGACCCATTCCACCGGCCTATGCGCGGCCATGTCCTCCCCGCGGCCGGGGGGCGGCGGAGGGACCGGGCGGCCGGCGCCCAGGGCCGGGAAGAGGGCGGGGAGCGGGGGCTGAGGTGAGGGGAGAGGCGAAGAGAGGGTCTGAGGAGTGCAGGCGCCGAACGTTCCCACGGGGGTGGGGATGGGCGGCCGGCGCCCGGCCGGGAGGGGGAGAGGGGAAGGGGGCGTTGGCGAGGAGGCTGGGGGGAGGGGGACGGGGGAGGGGGACTCGGGGAGGGGAGGGGGCCTCTTGGTCGCTCTCCCCACTAGCGCCGTCTCCCCACAGCCATCACAGACCGAGACGCCGCCATGACACCCCACCGGAAGTGGGATCCTTTCCACGGCCCGGGGAGAGGGAGAGCGAGCGAGCTCGAGATTGAGAGCGCGGCTGGGAAAAGGGAGGGGGAAGCGAGAGGAAAGGGGGCCTGCAGCGCATGCGCCCGCTCCGGCCGGTTTCATTAATGAAAAAGCGAGTCCTCCTGGAGGTGACGTCACCTAACTCCTCCGGGCACCGAGGCGCGCGTCCCTCTACGCCGCCGGGCTCACCTCAACTCGGGCTCTGGTTGTAGCCGGAGAGAGTCCGAGCTGACCCGGGAGCATCCGCTCCCATCCCACCAACACCTCAGACTCCCCGTCCCCCGCCAGCCTCCGAGTTTGGATTGCTCCCCGGGTTGGAAGTTAGGGCGCCCTGAGGCTAGCATTTCTCCCTGCACACAGATCTCTGCCGCTGATTTCTGGGGAGCAATGCTCTGCCTTAAGCTCTCTCAAAAAAAAAAAAGCACACAACCTCAGGTTTCCAAGTTCTTCGTAGCTACTATAGCCTGCTGAGTAACAGGAAAAAGTAAGGCCAAGGGAGATTCGGTGATTTTTTTCTTTTTAAACGTTCTCTTAAATCCCAATGCTAGACCCAATGGCAAAGTACTCAGACTCCGGAATCCCAGTCGACTTCCTCTGCTGAACTGATAGGCACCCGAGTTAATAAAACTTTTGCGCAGTTGATAATAGAAAGATTCAACTTTCACCATCCTCAAAAAGCCTTTAAGGGCTTCGCATACATTATTAATTCAACACATTCATCCTCTCATTTAACTCTTTCAACGAGGCTTTCCAATAGGTATTACCCTCATGTAATGAGGCTGGGTCACAAGAGGTTCTGTGATTTGGCTGAAGTCATAGAGTTGGTTGGTAGGTGTCAGAGTCAGGATGCAAACCCAGGTGGTTTGACCCCAAAGACAATAGAGACAGGTTGTGGCTCTTCTGAAACAAAGGCATTCCCTGTGCCCCCAATACCAGAGTTGAAATGATTTCGTGTGGAATTGGGTCATGATGGTTTTCCAGGTTTACATTCAAAACAATGGATGATCTATCTATGTCTAACGTGAACTTTGGAATGTGTTCTTTTTAATTTCATCTTCCTCAATACACTTTACTTAGGCTAATGTTAAAGTGAGTATACACATTCTGAGCACATACTAATATGAGCCAGTGAGGCCACATAGCAGGTTACTAACTGGGTGACAAGGTAGAGCAAAACCAGAATTTTAATTTTACCACAGAAAACCCACAAAGCCAATAGCACTTATACAGAGAGATATATCTGTGAGAGAAGTTTCCAGTCTCTGCCGGCTGGTGATTGTCCAAAATACATATTAAGTTAATTAATATTTCATTCCAATAGAACAAGAGGACAGAGTCTGGATGGTTCTTTTGTCCATTCTTTAAGGATGCAACATGAATACTGACTAATTTCTTTTAGATGATGTCAGAAATGATGCTCACAGTATTGAAGAAAAGGATGAATATTAAACCAATGTCCATCTATGCCTTCCCCAATTAGGACCCCCCAAAAGGCTCTCATTCATATGCCCACGAAGGATCCCAGGGCCTCTACTTCGGGGCCAAACTTCCAGACCCACAATCTATCTTTCCTTTTCTCATGCTTCCTCTGAAAGTCCCTAATTACTTCCCTGTTGGCATGGCTTTTTGCCTGTCCATTCCTCTCATCTTTGCTAAACTGGATGTAACTGCCCAAACTCTTGGCTCCCTTGCCTCCAGTGACATTTCATTGCCAAGGTCCCTCTATGCTTCCCTTTCCTCTCCTTCTCTGGTTCCCCTAATTCCCCATTCCTCTCTAACTCTATGGTAAGACACCCAAACTTCAGGCCTTTGCTCTCTGCTCATCTTGCTTTACGCAGGCTCCAGCCAGCATGTCATTAATTTATCCTAATCAGCACTTGTTGTCCCGGGGCCTCCCCTGAGTGCCAAGCCACTCATTACAATTGGAGGTCGCTCCAAACCTCCTCTCCAATCAAATTCATTCAATTCCACTGAACCAATATTAAGTGCCCAAACACCTATTATATATATCACGCACAGTATAGCAGGAATTCTAAACAAAAATGCCAAAGAAGTTCAGAAATTCACACATAGAGACTGGTGAACTATGGAGCACATCCCCTCACGTAAAGGAGCAGCTGTCACTCAACTCCAGTCAATTCCTGCCCTGCAGGAATGTTGACACAGTGTTGCTAGATCTTCCATTACTCAAGACAAGCAGGAGCTCTGAACTTACATACAAAACTCTTCCAATTTTTACACAGTGGCAGCCAATTCACATTTTTTTAAACACTGTGCAGCCAAACAAAATACGTCTGCTATCTGAATTTAGCCCATGGAGCACCAGTTTGACTAGCTCTGGTCTCGTAGGAAGACATGGCCTTCAGAGTAAATCAGAATTTTGTGTCCTAACATCCCCCATTCTGCACCGTCCCACACAAGAGGGTTTAGGGAAACTACTAGTGTTTGATATAGTTTTAAATGCATCTCTTTCACTCATCTTCTGTTTCTTGGTCAGGCAACAATCTGCCAATTGTTTTCTTCAAGCTCTTCAAGAGGAGCATTCCCTCTATTCTCTTCTCTCTCCTACCTCCAGCATGCCAAGGAGCAAGCAACTTCTTAGGACCGAGGCGCCCATTTCCCCAGCCCTGGAAGTGTTGGTGGCCAACAGCGCTCAACAGAATCCCTTTCCGGGAATTGCCCTCATTAAAACAACTACCTGGAGCAGGTCACACCGTTGCCCAGGGGAGCCCACACAAATGACCAGGAGATGCAGCCTCAGGGTGAGACCACCCTGGAGGGCCCTTCCCACTCCAGAGTCCCCTTAAGGGATCAGCTCCCAAGGGGTCAGCTGAGGCCTCAGCTGTGACTGCATTTAGTCCAGCTTCTCTTTCTACTGAATCCTACCCTATATGGGGGAAATAGCAATTTAAGAACTACGGGATTGGATAGCTATAGATGGAGTAAATCTAAGCTTCAGGAAAAGACAATGCAAAGTTGAGGGTGATTAATCACCAACTAAAGGCTTAGGATGAAAGCTAGAGTGCCTCCTTAGCAGCATATAAATGAGGTGGGGGAGGGGGAGGAGGCAGAAAAAGCAGGGGATCAGGCCCAGGACTGAATTAGCAGCGTAGGAGAACTCCCAAAAGGTTGACTTCTCAGCTCTGGGAAGTGTGCTATGCCAAGATCAGGGCTATAGCCAGGAAGCAGAGGGGTCCTGACACTTCGGATGGGGTATCTGGGTAAAGGCACTGAGACACCTTCAAGTCCCACATCACCCTGAGCGCTGGGTTTGTAGAAGTGCCCTGCCCCCTGCTTGAAAATGAAGTCTCTACCCTGCAAGGCTCTCAGGATCTACCTGTACATTTCCTACCAGACCAATAACTAAAGCCAAGTCACAAAATAACCCCACTGAGGAATTGCTGGACCTGCCAAAGGAGGAGAGGTACTATGCAAGCGGAAAGAGCTAAAGGACCTAGCTAACGCATACACACTTGCAGAAGCTGGGAGTATATGTGTGCGATCAAGTCCCCAGGGTGCTGAGCTGCGGAGGAAAGAGGACAGCGTAACACCAGACAAAGCAGAGTTTACTCACATGAGCATATTCCCGTTCTACAGTATTAACACAGAGGCAAGGAATCCAGGAGATAGTGCTAACACGTTGCTGGGATGGTTCTAGGAAGCTTGGAGAAAGCAGTGGTCCACCGTAGGTGAAACAGAAAGGCTGGAGCTGTCATGGCAGACGATAGAAGAAGGGAGCAAAAGACGCAGGGTAGCGGGCAGGCTAGAGGGATATACTGCGTACATCCCACCAACTGACTACGTTCTGCCACTTAGCACAAGCCAACAAGGAATGCACTAGGGGAAGGGACATCAGCCTCACTACTACACTCCTCTCTGCAGGCCTGGGCTGATGACAGAAGATACTGTTACAGAGCTAGGCTTCCTGATAACAACAGGCCTGACAGGATCCTGAAGAAATAGAGACCAAGTGGCAGCGCTTAACCAACAGAATTAAGTGGCATTGTTAAGAGTGGCAACCAAGGGGACATGACCCACAGAGAGCTATGGAGATAGTTAATAGAACACTGTGTACCTAAAGGAAACTGAGATGGGCAGCCAACCAGTGTTCATTGTGTACACTTTTTTTTTTTTTGGAAGTATAGTTGATTTACAATATTGTGTTAGTTTCAGGTATACAGCAAAGGTGATACAGTTACATATATTTTTTTCAAATTACTTTCCGTTATAGGTTATTACAAGATATTGAATATTGTTCCCTGTGTTATTCAGTAAATGCCTATTGTTTATTTTATACATAGTGGTGTATATCTGTTAATCCCATACTCCTAATTTATCCTTCCCCCAGCCCTTTCCCCTTTGGTAACCATAAGTTTTCTTTTTTCTTTTGTGTGTGTGTGTGGTTGCATTGGGTCTTCATTGCTGTGCGTGGCTTTCTCTAGTTGAGGCAAGCAGGGGCTACTGCTTGTTGCGGTGCGTGGGCTTCTCACTGCGGTGGCTTCCCTTGTTGCAGAGCACAGGCTCTAGGTGTGCAGGCTTAGTAGTTGTGGCACACAGGCTTAGTTGCCCCACGGCATGTGGGATCTTCCCGGACCAGGGATCGAACCCATGTCCCCTGCATTGGCAGGCAGATTCTTAACCACTGCGCCACCAGGGAAGTCCCTAAATTTGTTTTCTATGTCTGTGAGTCTGTTTCTGTTTTGTAAATAGATTCATTTGTATTATTTTTTAGATTCCACGTATAAGTGGTTATAATATTTGTCTTTGTCTGACTTACTTCACTTAGTATGATATTCTCTAGGTCCATCCAT